GAAAGCATTCAGTTTCCTTTGACTTTCAAATGACGCATTTAGCTCAAAAATTTCGAATTTTCAAATTTTGAGCAGAACTATATAACCACACGAAAATTTCAAGTGATGTATCCGATTAAAAAAATACCCAATTTTTTACCACTAGAATTTTCTTACAATATTTAAACTCTGAACGTCACAACATTAATTCTTAAAATCCAGACTGCTGGTGGCAAGACCTAGAACACTTTTAAATATATCATTCAAATTAATTTGTCCGTGACACCGCAATGGGTTTTTTCAGCTTTTCAGTGCTGTATCGGTCAAACCGCGATGGACAAGTGAAAAGGCTGAAAATAATAAACTGATCATCAATTTCTAGTATTATTGCCATTTTAGCGGTCACCCGAAATGTGATGAAATAAGGGGCCGAGCATTCTAAAGTTCTTGTGCCGAAATTATAAGTCTGAAGGGGAGAGTTCGGGAACTTTTCATAGTCAAAGAGAAAAAGCTGCTCTTCAAATCTCGCGTAAAACGAAACAATTATGAAACTAAATAAAACGTTTTCCTTTCTTCGATGTCATCTATTTTTAACATTCATTTACAACATTACCTTACGATTAATGACAAGCCTCGGAGCCTTAGTTTCTACTTCAGCTCAGTTTAAAATTAACGAACTAGCCTTTAAAACTACCTCAAGAACAAAGATTTTTTGATAAACTTTTCACTTATCAATTAATTTTTAAAACCGTGTACCTTACTGAAGTATTTTCATTTACTCAACCCAGAAGTCTAGTATTTGCCATTTGATAGACTTATTATGACATCTATTTGCGAATCGCCTTGAAAAATTAGGTAGTTAAAACTAAAAAGTTTGAACAAAAATCTTAAGTTGAGAAAAAATTTAACTTAAACCTTTAACCAAAAATTTCCGCTATTTTTTGGCCAATCTTCAACGTATCGAGAAATTAATTCACGAAAATAACTCCCACATAAACATAAACATTAAAGAACTTCATAGTTTACAATGGGAAGTTTCAAATTTTCCCAACCAATTCCAAACTAAAAAGGTGAGGCGCATTGAAAACGGCACCAGCTTCCTTCGAAGACTTTTATTAATTTTTTAACGACTCGACACCTTTTTTTTTCCCTTTATGTTTTCTTCAACTGTTTATTTTGTCGTTCTTCCATTAACAGGCTTCTGAATACAAATTTAGCCTCACAAGAACAACTGATTGGCAATTTGTGGGCCGTCGCGTTAAATACACACTCACAATGACTATTCCCGAGTCCACGGAACTGAAAACAAAAATCAAGCTTCCATTTAACGGCACGGCCATTCTACGACTAACGGCGGCGAAGATTACTGAGGTGAGCAAGCACCTGACTATCGACAACAACGCCACCAACATGACGTCATCGGGAAACGACGGTTTGATTGACATCGCGTTCTTTAACTTCGGGACTGTCACGCGAACTTCATTTGGAAACGACACTAAGATTAAGATTGAGTTTGAGGTTCAAGTGATGAACCATGAGCAGATTGTCAATGGTGGCTTGCAGTGGGTCAGTGTTGGGACGCAGTACGGCACGAATCAGTCCGTGTGGGCGGCAATGCTGGCTGTCAAGACGGTTTATACGGCCTGCAAAAGACCCGTATTGAATGTTGACTTCTCTGGACTTCCGCCTACCGGTCACGCCGTGCTGTTTGGGTAATTGCGTGCTATTGACTTTCAAATTAGCCATTAACATCGCACCTATACTAGCCTTGATGTTCTAGACATGCCAGTAGAGTTACACAATACATCGTATAGGAAAACAAAAAGATGGCGGCTGTACATTTTAACGCAATTCCTTGGGAATTACCTAACGCAGCCAATTTAATTTGCAAACCTTGTCCCTGCACTAACAACATCACGTATGCTAGGTTTCGATAGGTTTGAAGCTTTCAGAACATTTCTGCGGTTAGGTTTTTCGTGCGCTAAGAATTAAACTCCCGCGAAAATTTCATGCCACACGGCATAGCAGTTTCATTAGATGTGGGAATTGTGAACGATTTTGTTTTTCGGGCAATTTGAATGCCTTTACATCCCAATTCCAACAATCACGCATTCGAACATTGCGTAAATTTTTCGGTCAAGATGGTCTCCGCCCGGCCCCCCCCCCCCCCCCCCCCTCCCCGAATGCGAAGGTGCCCGTACGCCTATGATAATGATGTCTATACCATTCGAAGTTAAATTATGACAAGGAAAATATTTTTCCTTTCTTTATTTTTCCTGAACAGAGACCAAATCACCCTCCGTTTGGTTGTGTCCCATTCGTCTCTGACAACAGACATTGTGGACAGCGGCACAGTTCAACTACCTTTACCGTCGTTCCTTACGTACCACAATCACACCACACTCGATGATTCAGTCAGTGTAGTTGTTTCCAACGTTGCTTCGACAGTTTCTATTACGGTAAAAATTCCTTTTCACTTTATGAGCAGGATCGGGTTGCAGTTGTTCAAAGCAAATCTTATTTACGACTAGCATGAAGTTTGATTTAGTTTTTTTATCTTTTCAGTGAGGTTTTCTTTTCATTTTGTTTGTCCTAGCTTCAGTTTTGACTTCAACTAATGTCAAACTCTACAAAAATTAGCAGCGAAAAGTACATTATAAAAGAGATCTTAAACCTTGGATAAGGTTTTATTCCTGGACTAACGTTAATCCACGAGAAAGCAATTACGGTTTAGATAAAACTGTAGTTTATTTTATTCCAACCTGCTCTAAAACGTTAGTTGAATTTTCTGCAATTTTTTCTTGGTCGTTGCCGTTTGAAATGAAATTTATTTGATTTGATTTTTTATTTATCTATTTGCTTGTACCTGGTTTCCTTCATTTGCAGTTTGGAACACTTGAGCTTGCTCAAACGGTTGGCGTAAAAATAAAGGTAAACCTTGATCCAGGAAAAACACGAGCCGAAGGGAAAATTCACGACTGCACAGTGCACGTGAACCTTAAGTACAACGGGTCAGCGGATACCTGCACCTCCTCCTCAGGCTCACGAGAATTTGCTCACGAAGGGCCATCGTCCACTTCTTTCAAATACTACGTGAAAAGTAAGTTTGCAGAACTTTGATTCACCTAATAGGAAATTAATTTAAGTTTGCGAAAATTTAAAATGGCTCTGATGTCCAAGTACCACTTTTTTTAGAAAAATACTTTGCTTAAAGTTGCGTCCTAGCTCGTCTTATACTGCTAATGAAAATTTGATAACAAAAGATGGGGGTCACCGGGCTCGTTTTTGAGTTCTTTCTAGCAATTCAAGCTAAAATAAAGGGCGTTATTACCAGATCACATCAAAAGCTAAGCTTTGGAAAGTGTTGGAAACTTCTGTCAGCCACCTTAAGAGAGGGGTGGAGAAGACAAGTGTTGCAATACTGAAATATTGGATTTTCTTTCTGCGCCTTCGAGTACGATTTTGACGGAAGAATTGCTTTACTGAATGTCTTCTCCCTTCAGTTATCATAATCATGGTTTTCTTGTCCATTTCCTACCTCAACTGTTCCATTCTCTTCTCTCAAGTTATACTAACCCTTAAATCGCCCTCGCATATCCTTCCCAGCGTACCTCTAGGCCATATTTGTTTGTAATCTGCCCCAAATTTTCCCATAAGTGCTCGCGCGGCTAGTTAGGCTCTGAACCATGGCAATATGTTTTTCAATTCTTTTGTCTTTGACGCCATGATTTTATCAATCAATCAGCAATCAGTACTTGAGGACTCCGCTCGATTAATCTGGTATTACTTACTTAGAAGCTGCATGTGACGAGCCTCTTGGCATGGAGGATGGTTCTATCTCTGATGCCCAGATCACAGGCTCGTCTTATTCTCCTGAAAGGGAACCACACAAGGCCAGGTTGAAAAACCAATGGGCCTGGATGCCAAATGGACCTTTAGCGTAAGTTGGGTGATGGTCGCTTGGTTATGGATAAGATAAGATAATATATTTAAACATGATTTAAAAAAATTCTTTAGCATACGTTCTAAATGTCGAATCACGCACTAACTAAGTAACCAACTATAGTAATAAACTAACTGACTGACTGACTCACTGATTGAATGACTGACTGACTGAAGGTCTGACTGAGGGAGGTTTGACTGACTGAAGGACTGACTGACTGATTGACTGACTGAATGACTGACTGACTGACTGACTGGCTGGCTGACTAACGTACTGACTGACTGAATGAATGACTGAATGAATGACTGACTAGCTGACTGACTGACTGACTGAATGAATGACTGACCAACTGACTGACTGACTGGCTAACTGAATGACTGACTTACTGACTCACTGAATGAATGACTGACTGACTGACTGAGTGAATGACTGACCAACTGACTGACTGACTGACTGACTGACTAACTGAATAAATGACTGACTGAATGAATGACTGACCAACGGACTGACTGACTGACTGACTGACTGACTGACTGGCTGGCTGACTGACCGACTGACGGAATGAATGACTAAATGACTGACCGGCTGACTCACTGACTGACTGACTGACTAACTGAATGAAAGACTACCTGACTGACTGAATAAATGACTGACCAACTGACTGACTAACTGGCTGACCGACCGACTGACTGACTGACTTACTGACTGAATAAATGACTGGCCAACTGACTGACTGACTGACCGACTGACTGACCGACCGACCGACCGACCGACCGACGGACTGACTGACTGACTGAATGACTGAATGACTGACTGAGTGACTGAATGAATGACTAACCAAATGACTGACTGAATGAGTGACTCACTGACCGGCCGACCGACCGACCGACTGACTGACTGACTGAATGAATGAATGAATGACTGCCTGACTGACTGAATGATTGAATGACTGACTGACTGACCGACCGACTGAGTGGTTTATTATTAGATAATCTTATCTTGTCCACAACTAAAACGTTGGCCTTTTATAATATAAATTTAAAAAAAGCTTGTTCTGATCTGAATTTTGTGTTTCAGGAAGGAGAGATCGCAGTTTCTCCAGGTCAACTTTACGAGTAAAGTGAAAGTTGTCAGACTCGGCGTTCAAGGCTATGACGATTGTTTCGTCACCAGTCTCTCCTTGTTCTTCAGCGACGACGGCGTGATTTGGAAGCCTTTCAAAGAGGGTGGCAAAATCAAGGTAAAAAGGAGAATATTAAACGTAATTGGAGTCTACCTATTGGTTAGAAACTCATCAAAAACTATCACGGCTCATCTTAATGTTGAAAAAGGATAAAGCTGGTAAATCCTTTATAGAGGCCTTTATTCGGCAACAAAATCCCTCTAAAGTTATTTTTAGAAACGGTACCCAGTTCTTCCGCGGATAGTGTTAACATTCTACGTATGGGCAAAATCCGCGTTAATTGTTTGGTTATTCAGAGTGATCTAAAAATAACCTGACAGGGAATAAAACCTATAACGTGGATTAACGTTGTCACTCCTCATCCTCTCTTGTAATAATGGCGAACAATTCAGCTTAGAGCACCAAATACAAATCCGTGCTACAGGCTGTGTGCAACATAGAAGAAGTCTTGATAGCCGATCTCATTGAGATGTCCTTAGCTCACACGAAACAATCGGTTTTGTATATACTAAGTGTTCACAAATTTTTCTTTAACCTGTAATAGGCTACCTAAAACAGGTGTCTCATCAGCCACTACGGAATTTAAACCAAGCGTAGTCCTAACCTTATAACAGATAATTCACACATGAAATCTGAACCTACAATTTTGTTTTAATTTTCTCAGGAATTCTCCGCCAGTGTGAGGATGGTTGTACTTCCCATTCCTATCAAAGCCGTGTATATTCGGATCAATCCAACAAATTGGCGGAAATGCATAGCCCTCAGGGTCGAGTTCTACGGCTGTGAGCTGGGTCAGCAGCCAACTTCTCCGGGTATGTCGCCGTTTAGTCTTTTAAGCTTGAATGTCAACATCGAAATTTTCAATTCTTGTCTTGGATATACTCTTCAATACTATTTGAGAGAGTTTGAAAAATATCAACTTAACATAATCTTGTCCGGCGTTATTACTTATGCCTGATTAACTGAGTGACT